AAATCCACAAATCAATAGGAATTAAACACCACACTCTTAAGCAAAGCCAAAGAAAATGTAAGAAGGAAACTTAGAATTCCTCACTAAAACACAACACGCCAGACTTCTGGGATGCAGTGAAAGCAGTCATAAGAGGGAAGGTTCACAGGCACATTAAAAAAAAAAAGATCTAGGGCCGGGTGCGGTGGCTCGCACCTGTAATCCCAGCACTTTGGGAGGCCGAGGCGGGTGGATCACGAGGTCAAGAGATCGAGACCATCCTGGTCAGCGTGGTGAAACCCCGTCTCTACTAAAAATACAAAAAATTAGCTGGGCATGGTGGCACGTGCCTGTAATCCCAGCTACTCGGGAAGCTGAGGCAGGAGAATTGCCTGAACCCAGGAGGCAGAGATTGCGGTGAGCCGAGATCGCGCCATTGCACTCCAGCCTGGGTAACAAGAGCGAAACTCCATCTCAAAAAAAAAAAAAAGATCTGAAATCTACGTAATACCTCAAAGAACTAGAAAAACAAAAGTTACACCCAAAGCTAGCAGAAGAAAGAAAATTTTAAAAAGATGAAAGTAAACATAAATGAAAGAGAGAATACAAAAACAATACGAAAAAGCTCAATAAAAACAGGACTGGGGCCACACATGGTTGCTCATGCCTGCTACCCCAGGATTTTGGGAGGCTGAAGTGGGTGGATCACTTGAGGCCAGGAGTTTGAGACCAGACTGGGCAACATGGTGAAATTCTTTGTATTCTGTACAAAAAACACAAAAATTAGCCTGGCATGGTGGCAAATGTCTGTAGTCCCAGCGACTTGGGAGGCTAAGACAGGAAGATCATTTGAGCCTGGGATGTGGAGGTTGCAGTGAACTGAGATCACACCATTGTACTCCAGCCTGGGGGAGAGGATCACTCAAGCCCAGGATGTTGGGGCTACAGTGAGCCAAGCCATGATCAGACCACTGCATTCCAGCCTGGGTGACAGAGTAAGACCCTATCTGAAGTAAATAAAACAAAATAAGAAATTAAATTAAATTAAAATAATAAAATAAAACAAAATAAAATGACAAAGACTTGAATTAGACATTTCTCCAAAGATGATAAACAGATGGCCAAGAGGCATGTGAAATTATGGCTGGCCAGGTGTGGTGGCTCACACCTGTAATCCCAGCACTGTGGGAGGCCAAGGCAGGTGGATCAGCTGAGGTCCGGAGTTTGAGACCAGTCTGACCAATATGGTGAAACCCCATCACTACTAAAAATACAAAAATTAGCTGGTCATGGTGGCAGATGCCTATAATCCCAACTACTTGGGAGGCTGAGACAGGAGAATTGCTTGAACCCAGAGGCGGAGGTTGCAGTGAGCCAAGATTGCACCACTGCACTCCAGCCTAGGTGAGAGGGACACTGCATCTAAAAAATATATATATATATATATATATATATATATATATATATATGATCAATATCACTAATCATCAGGGGGTATGCAAATCATAACTACAATAAAATATCACCCATTAGGATGGCTACTCAAAACATAAAAATTAAAAAACCAAAAACTCAGAAAATAACAAGTGTTAGTGAGGTTTTAGAAAAATATGAACTCATGTGCACTGTTGGGTAGAATTGTAAAATGGAGTGACTGTTATGGAAACCAGTAGGGCAGCTCTTCAAAAAATTAAAAATAGGATTACCATATGACCCAGCAATCGCCTTCGGAATATAGATCTAAAAGAACTGGAAACAGGATCTCAAAGAGACACTTACACACCCATGTTTACAGCAGCCTTATTCACAAGAGCCAAATATCCATTAACAAATGAATGGATAAACAAACTGTGATCTATAAATACAATGGAACTCTAAGCCAGAAAAGGAAGGGAACTCTGATACACACTACTACAGGGATAAATCTTAAGGACATTAATGTTAAGTGAAATAAGCCAATGACAAAAAGACAAAAATTATGTGATTGCATTTATATGAGGTATCCAGAGTAGACAAATTCATAGAAACAAAGTAGACACACATGCCTATAATCTCAGCACTTAAGGAGGCTGAGTGGAAGGATCACTTGCAGCCAGGAGTTTGAGACTAGCCTGGGCAACAGGAAGACTCCATGTCTACAAAAAAAAAATTATTTTATTTTTATTTTATTATTATTATTTTGAGACAGAATCTCAGTTTGTCTTCCAGGCTGGAGTGCAGTCACAGATCTCGGCTCATTGCAGCCACCACCTCCCAGGTTCAAGCGATTCTCATGCCTCAGCCTCCAGAGGAACTGGGATTACAGGCAGGCACCACCATTCCCAGCTAATTTTTGTATTTTTTAATAGAGACAGGGTTTCACCATCTTGGCCAGGGTGGTCTCAAACTCCTGGGCTCGAGTGATCTAACCACCTCAGCCTCTCAAAATGCTGGGATTACAGGCATAAGCCTTAGCACCCAACCTAATTTTTTAAAAAAGAAAAAAAAAATCAAGGCCGGCCGTGGCAACACAGCAAGACCCCATATCTAAAATAATAATAATTTTTAAAAAGTTAATTAGCTGGGTCCAGGTGCAGTGGCTCATGTTGTAATCCCAGCACTTTGGGAAGCCAAGGCAGGAGGATCACTTGAGGCCAGGAGTAGTTCAAGACCAGCCCTGAGAAATTCTGTCTCTAAAAAAAATAATAATTAAAAAAAAATAAATTAGCTAGGTGTAGTGGCACATACCTGGAGTCCTAGCTACTTGAGAGGCTGAGGCAGGGGGATCTAGGAGGATCCCTTGGGCCCAGGAGTTCAAGGATGCAGTGAATGATGATTGTGCCCTTGCATTCCAGCCTGGGTGATAGAGCAAGATCTTATTTTCATAAATCAACTTTTGAAAAAAAGAAAGTAGGAGTAGTTACAAGGGTCTGGGGAAAGGGGCAAATGTGGCATTCTCGTTTTATGGGTATAGAGTCTTAGTTCTGCAAGATGCAAAAGTTCTGGAGATTAGTTTCACAACAATGTAAATGCACTAAACATAATCATACACTAAAAATAGTAACAATATATGTGTTTTAGTACAATTTTTTTTTTTTTTTGAGACAGAGTCTCGCTCCATCGCCAGGCACCAGGCTGGAGTGCACTGACGTGATCTTGGCTCACTGCAACCTCTGCCTCCCAGGTTCAAGCAATTCTCCTGCCTCAGCCTCTCAAGTAGCTGGGACTACAGGCACGTGCCACCATGCCCAGCTAATTTTTGTATTTTTAGTAGAGACGAGGTTTCACCATGTTGGCCAGGATGGTCTCAATCTCTTGACCTCGTGATCCGCCTGCCTCGGCCTCCCAAAGTGCTGGGATTACAGGCATGAGCCACCGCGCCCGGCTATTACAATTTTAAAAAAGAGAAGACTGGGCGCGGTGGCTCACATGTGTAATCCCAGAACTTTGAAAGGCCGAGGCGGACGGATCTCACTTGAGGTCAGGAGTTCAAGACCTGCCTGGCCAGCATGGCGAAACCTTGTCTACTAAAAATACAAAAATTAGCCAGGCGTTGTGGCAGGCACCTGTAGTACCAGCTACTTGGGAGGCTAAGGCAGGAGAATCGCTTGAACCCAGGAAACGGAGGTTGCAGTGAGCCAGGATCATGCCATGGCACTCCAGCCTGGGCAACAAAGTGAGACTCCATCTCAAAAAAAAAAAGAAAACTACTGAATAATATCTCTCATAAATATAAATGTAAAAATGCCTATCAAAATATTAGCAAACTGAACCCCATAATGGTTTTTTTTTTTTTGAGATGGAGTTTCGCTCTTGTTACCCAGGCTGGAGTGCAATGGCGCGATCTCGGCTCACTGCAACCTCCACCTCCTGGGTTCAGGCAATTCTCCTGCCTCAGCCTCCTGAGTAGCTGGGATTACAGGCATGCGCCACCGTGCCCAGCTAATTTTTTGTATTTTTAGTAGAGATGGGGTTTCAACATGTTGACCAGGATGGTCTCGATCTCTTGACCTCATAATCCACCCACCTCGGCCTCCCAAAGTGCTGGGATTACAGGTGTGAGCCACTGCGCCCGGCCCCTCCATAATGTTTAAAAATGATTTTTTAAAAGGAGTTTTTACAGATGCTCAGTGACACAACTTCGTGTCACTCCATGAGGAAAAGAATCCCTCAGGCACAGGATAGGGATGATGCCCTGGGTTGCGACACGGCAGGGACCTCAGGAAGCAGCATGAGGCAGGAGAAACACTCCAGAGGCCATTCATCACAATGAATGTCAGGCGTGACTCCAGGGGTGCTCAGCCACAGACCCCATTTTCCAAAGGCAAATGCTCAGATCACATGATAGGTATTGACAGAAATAATGGACATCTAAATCTTAATGACACCAGAGCTAAGGAAAAGAAAGAATGCTCAACAGTGAGTCTGGGAGTGTCTGGGAAGGACAGTGGTGCTGCAGAGGCCTGTGTGGTAGCTTTGAGGATTCATAGACTACCCCCAACCACAGTTCTCTACCTACAAGTAAAAGAAATTCTCTAGGGCCGGGAGCGGTGGCTCAAGCCTGTAATCCCAGCACTTTGGGAGGCCGAGGTGGGTGGATCACGAGGTCAAGAGATCGAGACCATCCTGGTCAACATGGTGAAACCCCATCTCTACTAAAAATGCAAAAAATTAGCTGGGCATGGTGGTGCGTGCCTGTAATCCCAGCTACTCAGGAGGCTGAGGCAGGAGAATTGCCTGAACCCAGGAGGTGGAGGTTGTGGTGAGCCGAGATCGCTCCATTGCACTCCAGCCTGGGTAACAAGAGCGAAACTCCGTCTCAAAAAAAAAAAGAAATTCTCTACACCTCACATTCCTGTCAAAGTAAAATGATGTGATTAGTTAGTTCCTGGTAGCCCTAACATTCAAAATCTGAAATAAACATTCCAGACCCTCTAAACAGCTGAGTCCTCACTTTTTCTCTTTGTGTTCTCCAAATACTCAAACCATGACACAGAAGAGTCTGCTGCATTATATTCACTGCACTCATCCATGTCTAATACCTGGCGTGGAAGCTTATTTAGTGACCTCAGGTAGTCTTTGTCCAGAATACAGTTTCCAAGTGCATTCCCAAAACTCCTAAGGGTAAGAGAGGAAAAAAAAGTGAAACGGTTAAGAATTGTTACACATGAATATCAGAGAACAGAGTTACAACTTTTGTGCAGGCTGCTTCTCAGGTGCAGCAGAGGAAATGGACCCCGACGTGCATTCCACTGATGTCTGGGAAGCACCTACCGTGTCCCTGCACTGTGTTAGTTTCTGAGAATACTGCAGCGAGAACAAGACACAAATCCCTGCCCACACAGAAGTGATGAGTATGAGAAGACTAGGCGCCACTCACAAAACCCATTAGCCACCTCCTGACACGGAGAACAAATTGCAGAGATTTTTTTTTCCCCAAAGACTGCTCCAATTTCCCAGCTGGAGTAGGCAACACACACCTGGGGCCTGGGTCTTGAGGGCAAAACTTTCCATGACCAAAGTTACTAACATGGGATCTATGGACTCCCCCACAGAATTCATAGGTTTTTCTGGTTCAATTCACTTTAATTCTCAAAGACATTGATATGGTTTGGACGTCTGTCCCCTCCAAATTTTATGTTGAAATGTGTCCTCCAATGCCAGAGGCCTGGCGGGAGGCACTGGAATGAACAGCTTACTGCCATCCCTTGGTGATAAGTGAGTTCTCACTCTGTTCATGAGAGATCTGGTGGTTTTGAGCCTGGGGGCTGGGCATGACGGCTCATGCCTTTAATCCCGGCACTGGGAGACCAACGCAGGAGTAGGATGACTTGAACCCAGGAGTTTGAGACCAGTCTAGGCAACATAGGGAGACCCTATCTCTACAAAAAAAAAATTAAAAATTAGCTGGGCATGGTGTCATGTGCCTGTGATCCCAGCTACGTGGAAGGTTGAGGTGGGAAGATCACTTGAGCCCAGGAGCAATGATAGCTGCACCCTAGCCTGTGCTAACAGAGCAAGAGCCTGTCTCAAAAAATGAAAACAATAAAATTAAAAAGTCTGGGACCTCTTCCTTCTCTCTCTTGCTCTCTCTCTCCATGTTCCCTCTTCGCCTTCTGTCATGATTAGAAGCTTCCTGAGGCCTCACCAGAAACGGATGCTGGCACCAGGCTTCCACTAGAGTCCACAGAATCATGAGCCAATTACCTCCTTTATTTATAGATTACCCAGCCTCTGGTATTCTGTATAGCAATGCAAACGGACGAACACAGAAATCCACATGACTATGTAACTAAGCAAACTGTGCTACCTGTGCACAGCGGAGGACTACTGAGGCACATGGAGAGGATGAGGGTGCTCTCTACGCACTCGCAGCAGGGGTGGAAAGGTCTCCCACACGTTCTGAGTACGGGGAGAAGAGAGAATACAGGATTCTACCACTTATTCCCCACAAGGGAAGCCTGAAGCTGAAACACTGAAAAAATACTAACAGAAGTGGGAAAACAGGGCAGAGAGGAACCAGGACAGGGGTAACATTATCTTCCATGTTGCTTAGATTTTTGAACCATGTGGATGTATTACCTCTTCCAAAAAACAAAACCGAAACTTGCTCTGAAGCAAGAGCTGGGATGACACAGGTTAGACTCCCAGCCTCACACTCACCTGAGGGCTCGCTTCAGCCCATCTGTCACTGCCTCCTTCCTTGCCTTCTCCAAAGATAAGGCCTTGGACTTGAGGCCCTCACTAACACCATAACCAACGTCTTCATGATATGAACCATCCTGGGGGCACAAAAGGAGTTCAAACTCAATAAGAGAGCAGCAGGTGCACCACAACTCCCTCAAGCAGAAAAGTTCAAACCAGCAATATGCCACCCAGCAGCCTTGCTACAGCAGGCACACGCAGAGGCTGGATGAGAATCCATTTCCGGTACTGCTTCCTAGACCTGGTCTGCCTGGATGGACATGAGCCTATGGTCAAGGTGTCAAGACGATCCTCCCTTCCCAACTTCCCTAATGACACACAAAGGGCACATTAGAAACCCACCCCAAATCCTATCAAGGTGCATTACCCTAAGGTTAAAAATCTCTGGGATGGCCAAGTGCAGTGGCTCACGCCTGTAATTCCAGCACTTTGGGAGGCCAAGGCAGGTGGATCACTTGAGGTCAGGAGTTCAAGACCAGCCTGGTCAACATGGTGAAACTCCATCCCTACTAAAAAGACAAAAATTAGCCAGGTATGGTGGTGGGCATCTTTAATCCAGCTACTCAGGAGGCTGAGGCATGAGAATCACTTGAACCTGGCAAGCAGAGGTTGCAGTGACCCAAGATTGTACCACTGCACTCCAGCCTGGCCGACAGAGCAAGACTCCATCTTGAAAAAAATGCCTCTTGAGATATCAAACAAAGGGATAATTTGAATATTGGATCTAATGGTCTCTAAGGACTGGAGAACAACTCCTTTTGTAAGTCAGGTGGTATCCAGTTCCTGCCTTTCACCAAAAGTGAAGGTGGACCTGAGCAAATCATTTGCTGATAAAGAATTAAATGCAATGTTTGATCATAGTGCTCTGTGATTTTTTGAAAAACAACTCAGAAAGCACTCAAAGAAATGAGTAACACTGTAACAAGATTCTTTCCATTCTCAGCTACTGACTCATAGATAGAGTGTTTTTCAGTAGTTTAGAAAAGTAAGTCAGCAGAGAATGCTGAATTGTTCATTCAAGAAATAAGTAATATTCAACTATGGATATATAAACCTACTGAAAAGAAATAGCACCACCCATCTCATTAAGATATTCATTTTCCATAAATTTTATATTTTATTTTAAATTTTTTATTTTGTTGCAACATTTCAATATTTTTAATTTTTCTAAGTATCAAAATTTTGCTATATTTATGTTTTATCTTCACCATAAACACAATTGTCTGATCAATTGTGTGTCAACAGTAGCTATAACTAAATCCAAAATAAATCTTTTAATATTTAGAGCTTTAAGTGCATTGAAAATTTACCAAAAATTTTTATTTTAATCCTTTTTTTTTTTTTTTTTGGCGAGACAGAGTCTAGCTCTGTTGTCTAGGCCAAGTGCAGTGTCATGATCTCAGCTCATTGCAACCTCAGCCTCCCGGGTCCAAGTGATTCTCCTGCCTCAGCCTCCCAAGTAGCTGGGATTACAGCCACCTGCCACCACACTCAGCTAATTTTTGTATTTTTAGTAGAGACAGGGTTTCAATCCGACCTCATGATCCGCCCGCCTCAGCCTCCCAAAGTGCAGGATTACAAGCATCAGCCACCAGGCCCAGCCAAAACTTTTCCTTTTTGTTTCCTTTTTTTCCATCCAGGCTGGAGTTCAGTGGTGCAATCATAGCTCACCGCAGACTCGACTTCCCAGGCTCAGGTGATCAGCCTCCTGAGTAGCTAGGACTACAAGCATTCACCACCATGCGTGGTTAATTTTTTGTATTTTTAGTAGAGACTTCTTTCACCATGTTGCCCAGACTGGTCTCAAATCCCTGGATTCAAGCAATCCTCCCACCTGGGCCTCCCAAAGTGCTGGTATTATAGGAATGAGCCACCCCGCCTGGCCAAACTTTCAACCATAAATATGTATTAGGATAAAAACCAGTGGGGATTGGCTGGGCGCGGTGGCTCAAGCCTGTAATCCCAGCACTTTAGGAGGCCGAGGTGGGTGGATCATGAGGTCGAGAGATCGAGACCATCCTGGTCAACATGGTGAAACCCCGTCTCTACTAAAAATACAAAAAGTTAGCTGGACATGGTGGCGCATGCCTGTAATCCCAGCTACTCAGGAGGCTGAGGCAGGAGAATTGCCTGAACCCAGGAGGCAGAGGTTGCGGTGAGTCGAGATCTCGCCATTGCACTCCAGCCTGGGTAACAAGAGCAAAACTCCATCTCAAAAAAAAAAAAAAAAAAAAACCAGTGGGGAAATAGGATAGAAATATGAGTTCAGATAAAGAAAGAACAATGTAAAATTTCTAATGATTAAAAAGCTTGTTCATTGTATTTCTTCATAAATGATAGATCTAATCCTCTGTAGTATTTAGAGTCCACTGGAATATTTAACAATGATGTAACAGATTTATAGTAAGTCCTCGCTTAACATCTTAAATAACTGACTTCACGTGAAACAACTTATAACAAAACCAATTTTGTTTCTATCAATTTTATAACAAAAGGACGCTATTCAAGGACCTACAGTATATTGCTTTGTCTAAGGTTGCAGTTTCCAAAAACTTATCAGTGATGGTAAAATCATTTTATTTTAGAATGTCAGATTTTACCATATGCCAAAAAATACACTCCTTGCAACAATTTTTATATATGGTGAAAACTTAAGTGTCAACTTGAAAATGTGCAAGAGGATAATTTTTCCACATTCTTTTAGGAAGCATATGAGCAAGAATATTTGAAGCCCACCATTCCAGGGAACACTGACTGAGACAACTCTGGAGCCTGGCTCCAGCTTGCCTGCATCCCAGTCCAGCTCCCTACGTCCCTACCTGCTCACCTTCTCCTGCCACCCACTGATCCTTCCTGGAAGCAGGTCTACTCCATCCCCCTCACCTTCAGCTGGACCCTCACAAATGCACAAACTCCCACGTAGAACTTGCCATTGTTCAGGTCAACAAAATCTAGGAGTGGGAAAGAAAGCAAGTTGAAGAGGACACTGAGCCCTGTGCCACACCAGTCCTCCTGCTGGCAACTAAGTCCACCTACCTTACCTCCTCACCCACAACATCCCCTCACCAAGAGTCAGACAATGCAGAAATCCCCAGCACTGGAGCGCAAACTCACCCACATTCTGCTGCGTGATGGAGTGTGCCCAGCCATTGTAACCAAACATCTCATTGGCCAGATTAATTACCCGATGACCCTCAATGTAACACACCTAAAAAAAAAAAACATTTTTTTAAAGAAAAGCTGTGTTAATTCCTTACCACACTTAAATGTGAATTAAAATTTATATAATGTATTCCTCATCTACTTTTTTGGATAAACTGCCCTTAAACATTCTACTTGGGAGGCTGAGCTGGGAGGATCACTTGAGCCCAGGAGCTCAAGGCTGCAGTGAGCTATGATTATGCCACTGCACTCCAGCCTAGGAGAGAAACCCTTAGGAAAAAAAAAAATTTTTTTTCAAGAAAATTCTCAATGAATTTATTTTTAAAATATTCTAGTTGGAGCCTGAGAGAACTAACGGTCTGTTGGGAGGAGGAACTAGACTCAGAGGAGAAAGACAGCCACTCACACAGCAGTTGGTAAAATTCAGTTTGTAAAAAGTAAAAATCTCTGTTTGACATATTTTATGGAAGACCAAAAATATACACAGAAGTTAAAATTAGAAGCAAATGATATGCAATTATGTGCCAATTATAAGTTCTTTTAAAATAATTTAATTTAAAAAGAAAAAAAGCAAATGGCAAAAGGAACACTTTTCTTTAATGGTGTAAAGGCTGGGCACAATGGCCCATGCCTGTAATCCCAGCACTTTGGGAGGCCAAGGTGGGAGATGACTTGAGCCCAGCAGTTTGAGACCAGCTTGAGCAACATGGTAAGATGTCATCTCTAAAGAAAATTTAAAAATTAACCAGGCATGGTGGTGTGTGCCTGTAGTCCCAACGAGTGAGGAAGCTGAGGCAGGAGGATCACTTGAGCCTGGGAGGAGGAGGCAGCAGTGAGCTGAGATGGCACCACTGGACTCCAGCCTGGGTGACACAGCAAGACCCTGTGTTTAAAAATTTTTTTTTAAATGATGTAAAAATCCTAAAATGGCACTTATGCAAGTGTCAATACCATGCTTGGACCCCTCAAATGAAAACAAAGTCTAGAACCCGTCCCCTCCCAGGGGCACTGGGAAACCTCCAGGGACAGTTAACAAGAGCCTTAGAAATCCCTGAGGACCCAGAGAGGGGGCTGGCAAGACCATCTGAGTCTGTTGTATGGATACCTGCTTTCCAGGCACATGAATTCTCCTACCTTCTGGCCTCCTCCAGCCACGCGGCTACTTATGTATTCTGGGCCCAGCCTCTGCCTCAGGGCCTTCTGGATAGCCTGGTACTCTTCTGCTGTGTACTGCTGCTGCAACCCCAAAAACAAAAATTAAATTCACACTTCCACCATTTCTCACATCACTGATTCTCCAGCTTTTTGGCCTCAGGACCCCTTTATACTTTTACAAATTAGCAAAGACCCACCACCCCCGCCCCACAACCTTTGTTTATGTGGGTTTTATTTATCCTATTAGGAATTAAAACTCAGAAACTTGGCCGGGCGCGATGGCTCATGCCTGTAATCCCCGCGCTTTGGGAGGCCAAGGCGGGTGGATCAGGAGGCCAAGAGATTGAGACCATCCTGGTCAACATGGTGAAACCCCGTCTCTACTAAAAATACTAAAAATTAGCTGGGCATGGAGGAACGTGCCTGTAATCCCAGCTACTCAGGAGGCTGAGGCAGGAGAATTGCCTGAACCCAGGAGGCGGAGGTTGCGGTGAGCCGAGATCGCACCATTGCACTCCAGCCTGGGTAACAAGAGGGAAACTCAGTCTCAAAAAAAAAAAATGAGAAACTTTTAAGGCATACATGCCACTAGGCATCGTAACAGTGACATCACATATTATGCAGTCTCTGAAAACTCTACCGTTCACTCACGAGACAATAAGTGTGAAAGAGGCCAACAGTATTATTATGAAGATAATTTTGACCTCCTGGACTCTGAAAGATCTTCAGAAACCCCAGGGGTTCCAGGACCACATTTTGAGAACTGCTGCCTTACCATCCTTATAAATGTTTCTGAAGCTTAGGAAACTAAAATGTCATGCCTCCAGATCTATAAATGACGTCAGCACAGGAAGCAAGTATGGAAAGAGCACAGGGACAGGAAGGCTTGCTTCCATTTGTCCTTTCCAGAGACTGACACCTTCTCCAATGCAACAGCTTCCCATCCTGCACAAACAGAAACACACTATTGCTTGCTGGTTTGGGTTGTGTACCCCTTTCCCTAATCGGATGAGATGAACACTCACAACCCTCCGGTAAAGACAAAGATGGAGTTGGAGTGGACAAAGCAAGAATCTTTTTTCTATGCACACAATGTCCCTACAAGTAATATGACCCGCAGTAACTTTCCATGCCTCCAAGAAAGACAACTAGGGCCAGGCGCAATGGCTCGCGCCTGTAATCCCAGCACTTTGGGAGGCCAAAGAGGGCAGATCATGAGTTCAAGACCAGCCTGGCTAATATGGTGAAAGCACGTCTCTACTAAAAATACAACAAATTAAGGCCAGGCACGGTGGCTCATGCCTGTAATCCCAGCACTTTGGAAGGCCAAGATGGGTAGATCACCTGAGGTCAGGAGTTCAACACCAGCCTGGCCAACTTGGTTAAACCCCATCTCTACTAAAATACAAAAATTAGCTGTGGTGGTGCATGCCTGCAATCCCAGCTACTTGGGAGGCTGAGGCAGGAGAATTGCTTGAATCCAGAGGGTGGAGACTGCAGTGAGCCAAGATCATGCCACTGCACTCCAGCCTGGGTGACAGAGCAAGACACAGTCTCAAAAACAAAAAGAAAAAGAAAGAGAACTGGGTGGCATGCAGACAGGAGCAATTGAAAATAGGGGGACTTTTCACAGTTTCATTTTGAATTTGATGTCATACAAATATGCTATCTACTAAAAAAATAAATTTATATCTAAATCTAATCCCCAGTACTATCACTCTTTTGATGGCTAATGTTCCAAAATCCTCCAGAGTTCACAAAAGACCCCCAAATAATGCATCTAAAGGAAGAACCAGTAACAACAAATAGCTCACACGTGTACTACATATAGCTGTACTATGTACTGCTCACACATGTACTATGATGCTCTACAAACTGCCTTGCCCTAACTTCACTCACTTAACTGCATTCTTTCCAGGGATGAAGGAAGCACAGTTACCTGTCCAAAGCATAATGCCGAGCTGCCGCCAGCAGCAGGATGACTGTCACGCCCTCCAAGAATTGCTTCCTCAGTCCCAGACATCTTGATTTTGGTTGACCTCTATATAAATAAAAGAATTTTTTAAAAGTCTCAAAGAATGTTTAAAGGCAAGAGTCTCTACTGAAAAATCACATAAAGCATCCATATGCAATATCCTATGAGTTATTTACAAAATTCTAAGCACCTGCTCCAATCTAGAAGAGTTCTTCAGTGGTTAGCTATGGTCTCTCAAGCTGCTGAAGATCCTTTAATAAACATGTCTGCCATTGTGGTGAGGCTATTAAAGGTGACTTTTACGGTAAGAATATATTACATTTGTAACTATAAAATCAAAATTACAAAACTATTCTTTATGGGAAAGCAAAAAATTTACTATAAGCGGGGTACAGTGGCTCACGCCTGTAATCCCAGCACTTTGAGAGGCCGAGGTGGGTGGATCACGAGGTCCGGAGTTCAAGACCAGCTTGGCCAACATGGTGAAACCCTGTCTCTACTAAAAATACAAAAATTAGCCTGGCATGGTGGCAGGCGCCTGTAATCCCAGCTATTTGCGAGGCTGAGGCAGAGATCTGCTTGAACCAACGAGACACAGGCTGCAGTGAGTCAAGATTGTGGCACTGCACTCCAGCCTGGGCAACAGAATGAGACTCTTTCTCAAAAAAAATTAAATTTACTATAGCTTGAACATTGCTAATCCCAAAATACAAAATTAAAATGCTCCAAAATCCAAAACATTTTGAGTGCCAACATGATGTGCTGTATCTCAAAACATAGGTGATGGCCAGGCATGGTAGCTCAGACCTATAATCCCAGCTCCCTGAGAGGCCAGTGCAGAAGGACTGCTTGAGCCCAGGAGTTTGAGACTAAACAGCAAAACCACATCTATACAAAAAATTTAACAATTAGCCAGGCATGGTGGTATGCTACTTAGGAAGCCAAGGTGGGAAGATCGCTTGAGCTCAGGAGTTCAAGGCTGCAATGAACTATGATGACCCCACTGCACTCCAGCCTGGGTGACAGAGCAAAACTGTCTCAATAAAAAATAACCCAAAAAGGCAGGCACACAACACATAGTTTATTCAGCTTCTCCAAGAAAAAAATACAATTATCGGCTAGACGCAGTGGCTGACGCCTGTAATCCCAACACTTTAGGAGGCTGAGGCAAGCAGATCACCTGAGGACAGGAGTTTGAGACCAGCCTGACCAACATGGTGAAACCACATCTCTATAAAAATACAAAAATTAGCTGGGCGTGGTGGCGCACACCTGTAATTCCAGCTACTAGGGAGGCTGAGGTGGGAGAATAGCTTGAACCCCGGAGGCAGAGTTTGCAGTGATACAAGATTGTACCACTGCACTCCAGCCTGGGTGATAGAGCAAGTCTCCATCTCAAAAACAAAAAAAAGAAAACCTTCCAGGCACGGTGGCTTACTCCTGTAATCCCAGCACTCTGGAAGCCCGAAGCAGGCGGATCACGAAGTCAAGAGACCGAGACCATCCTGGCCAACATGGTGAAACCCTGTCTCTACTAAAACTACAAAAATTAGCTGGGCGTAGTGGCACATGCCTGTAGTCCAAGCTACTTGGGAGGCTGAGGCAGGAGAATCACTTGAACCCGAGATGGAGGTTGCATGGTGCCAAGATTGCACCACTGCACTCCAGCCTGGTTACAGAGCCAGACTCCGTCTCAAAAAAAAGAAAAAAAAAATTATCTTTAGGCTCTGAGTATAAGATATATAGAAAACAAATGAATTTCATGTTTAGACTTGGGTCCCATTCCCAAGATATCTGATTATGTATATGCAAATATTCCAGAATCTGAAGTCGAAAACACTTCTGTTCCCAAAGCATTTCAAAGAAGCAGTACTCAACCTGTGCTAGCTAAGAGGGTAACTCTGGGAGGTGGTGGATATGTGAATTACCTTGACTGTGGTAATCATTTCACAGCGCGTTCACATGTCAAATCATCACATTGTACATCTTAAATATATACAATTTTTATTTGTCAATCATACCTCAATAAAGCTGGGGGATAGGGGAAAAAAATCAAGTGAATGTGTTTTAAATTTTTTTTAAAAATAGCCGGGCATGGTGGCTCACACCTTGTAATCCCAGCACTTTGGAAGGCCGAGGCAGGCGGATCACCTGAGGTCAGTTTAGGACCAGCCTGGCCAACATGGTAAAAACACTGTCTCTACTAAAAATTTTAAAAAATTTGCCAGACGTGGTGGCACATGCCTGTAGTTTCAGCTACTCGGGAAGCTGAAGTGGAAGAATCACTTGAATCATGGATGAGGAGGTTGCAGTGAGCTGAGATAACGTCACTGCACTCTGACCTGGGTGACAGCGCGAGACTCCATCTCAAAAATAATAATAATAATAATAACAAAGTTTTTAAAAACCTTAACTTTGCCAGATGCGGTGGCTCATGCCTGTAATCCCAGCACTTTGGGAGGCTGAGGCAGGCAGATCCCAAGGTCAAGAGATCGAGACCATCATGGCCAACATGGTGAAACCCTACCTCTACTAAAAATACAAAAATTCGCTGGGCATGATGGTGCGCATCTGTAGTTCCAGCTACTCGGAAGGCTGAGGCTGAGGCTGAGGCTGAGGCAGGAGAATCGCTTGAACCCAGGAGGCAGAGGTTGCAGTGAGCTGAGATCGCACCACTGCACTCCAGCCTGGACGACAGAACGAGACTCCGTCTCTAAAAAAAACAACACAAACCTCAACTTACTGCTCCCTACTATATAGGCAGCATGACCCTGATCACTACTATGGAGTCAAAAAGAAACAGAAGCCACAATCACTGAAATGCTTTCCAGGAGCTAACAAGATGGCTAGAAGGAGGAGAATAACAGAAATGAAATGAATGAGAACCAGGAGCAGTGGCTCATGCCTGTAATCCCAGCACTTTGGGAGGCTGAGGCAGGCAGATCACAAGGTCAGGAGTTCAAGACCAGCCTGACCAATGCAGTGAAACCCTGTCTCTACTAAAAATACAAAAATTAGCCTGGTGTAGTGGCGCACGCCTATAAACCCAGCTACTTAGGAGGCTGAGGCAGGTCAATCACTTGAACCCAGGAGGCAGAGGTTGCAGTAAGGTGAGATCACACCACTACACTCCAGCCTGGGAAACACAGCAAGTCTCTATCTCAAAAAAAAAAAAAAAATGAAGCAAATGAAAAGCAGGAGACCCCCAACATTCAGGAAGGCTCTATAGAGCAATAAGCCAGTAAGCTACTTTACATCCTGGACCAGCAGCATCACCAATCACCTGTTAACCTGTGTTTTGTGTGTGTGTGTTTTGTTCGTATTTTTTGAGACAGAGTTTCGCTCTTGTCACCCAGGCTGCAGTGCAGTACCATAATCTCAACTCAAAGCAACCTCCACCTCCTGGGTTCAAGAGATTCTTCTGCTTCAGCCTCCCGAGTAGCTGAGATTACAGGTGCATGCCGCCATGCATAGCTAAATTTTGTATTTTAGTAGAGATGGGTTTCGCCATGTTGGCCATGCTGGTCTCAAACTCCTGACATCAGGCAATCTGCTCTCTTCACCTCCCAAAGTGCTGGGATTACAGACATAAGCCACCACACCCGGCCACCTGTGAACCTTTCAAAATGCAAATTCTCAGGCCCTACCCCAGACTTCCTGAATCAGAAACTCTGGAAGTGAGCACAGCCAGGCATGCTTTAAGAGCCAATGCATTTGACTGAGCCTATGCAAATGTATAAAGTCCAATTAGAAAGCACACCTACCCTCAGAGCAATCACAGACAACTGGCGGAGCCCCTGCCTGAATACCCCTATATCTGCAAACGGAAGTTTCAGTTGTGCCTCAGCAAATTTGCACATTACAAATCTTCAGATTAATTGCAAATAGCAGAACTATAAATTCATGATTGTCAAGTAGCATGGTGCTCTTCATGACATTACAATACACCCCCCTCTTTTGGGCATAATGTTAAGTGGAAAAAAAATAGTCCTCCTTCATCCACAGTTGTCGTTACCCACAGTTCACAGTCCAAAATTTCCCAGTGGAATATTCCAGGAATAAACAAGTTATTAAGTGTTAAGTTGCATGCCATTCTGAGTAGCATGATGAAATCTCATACTATCCTGTTCTGGCCTGCCAAGAACACGAATCATCCCTTTGTCCAACGTCTCCAAACTATAGACAGTACTGCCATGTGTTCACTTAGTAGCCCTCTCAGTTATCAGATTCAAAAAAACAGTGTATATATGGTTTGGCATATTTGCAATTTCAAGCATCCACTGCGGATCTTAGAATGTATCCCCAAGAAGAGGCAGAGATTTCGGTGAGATTGTGCCACTGCACTCTAGCCTGGGTAATAGAACTAGACTCTGTCTCAAAAAAAAGAATGTATCCCCAAGGATAAGAAGGACTATGTATAATGCAATGTTTAAGAGATCAAATTCTGCCAGTCTGGGCAGCATGGCAAGATGTCATCTCTAGAAAAAATAAAAAACATTAGTAGGTGACAGAGTGAGACCCCATCTTTGAAAAATAAAGTGCCGGATGCAGTGACTCATGCCTGTAATCCCGGTACTTTGGGAGGCTGAGGCAGGGAGATCGTGAGGTCTGGAGTTCGAGACCAGCCTAGCCAACATGGTGCAACCCCATCCCTACTAAAAATAAAAATAAAAAAATTAGCTGGGTGGGGCGCACGCCAAATTGCTGGGATTACAGGAATGAGCCATCATGCCTGGCCTGGAAAACTATTTAAATAATCATAAAACATTACTCTTTAGCTAAGAATGGTAAGTTCAGCATTAAATCTATCATTAAAAAGTAGGAAAGGCCACAAGCAGTGGCTCATGCCTGTAATCCCAGCACTTTGAGAGGCCGAGGTGAGTGGATCACGAGGTCAGGAGTTGGAGACCAGCTGGCCAACATGGTGAAAATCCTGTCTCTACTAAAAACACAAAAAAAGTAGCTGGGCATGGTGGTGTATGCCTGTAATCTCAGCTACTTGGGAGGCTGAGGCAGGAGACTAACTTGAACCAGGGAATCAGATGTTGCAGTGAGCCAAGATCACACCACTGCACTCCAGCCTGGGTGCCAGAGCAAGACTCCGTCTCAAAAAAAAAAAAACTAGGATAGCAGCCTAAACTAAGTGAGTCAATAAGTGTCTAAAATTGTTAAATCAAGAAATAGTGAATAAAGGTTTTAGAATGTAGATGTAAATGCCAGAAAAGGGAGTTAGAAGAAATATATCCAACTGAGGTGTGAGGCTGGGGTGGGCAATGGTGCAGCAGGAAGCTCCTCTATTTTCAAAGCAAAATGTCTAGTACTATAGTATTTCACTGTTCAAATATGCACATGTATTATTTTAATAGAAACAAAGATTTAAATACTTATTCTACAAAGCAGAGGTCAGCCAACTTATTTTGTCAAGGACCAGACAGCAGATAGTAAGTATTCTTAAGTTTCTTGGGCTCAATGGTCATTGTCACAAGTACTATCACAACTCTGGCATTTTAGTGAAAGCAGCCACAGAGTACCTAAGTTAATGGCCATGGTTGTGTCCCAAACTTTGTTTACAAAACAGGCAGATTTTGCCCACAGACCATAGTGTGCCAACCCCCATATAAAGCATGCTTTGAACTCTAGTCAGATGTAGTTCAATATCCAGCTCCATCAGGCAAGTTACTTAAATTGGGCAATTACTTAACCTGCCTGTGCCTCAGTTTCTTCATCTAAATAAGGGAATATTAATAAGATCATCCATTTATTGTAACAGAATAATACGATAATAGCTTCCAGCTAGGATCATTAGTGAATATTAAATGGTTGGTGGGAAACAGGACATTTACAGAGTCTCACATAAGCACCAATTGGGTTGTCAGAAATAAAAGGGCATACTTTGTGAATGTACTTAATGCCACTGAAAAGTACACTTGACACAGTAGGGTGGACGGGTACACTTTGTAGCCTATGTGGCTCCAAGGTCAACACTGCAGGGGTAGAGAGAATTGGAGTCACACCAGTTCATAGCTGCCTGCACCCTACGTAACACTACCACTTCTGATAACAACACACTGATGAGAATGTGTCATGTACATAGCCCCAAAGCTGCAAAGGGGGCATCTGAATATTTTCTAAGTACTGTCTACCAAAACCCATTCTCCCCACTCCAATATGGGCCCCAAGAAGGTGGAAGATTCTGATTCTTCCTCGCATCATCAGTGACTAGCACAGACCCTGGCTCATCAATAGGGCCTTGGGAAGTATTTGCTGAGTAACAGCTCTTGATTAATTAAATGAATGAATAAGTGGCATGAAAAAATAAATAAGTGAATGATATACATAATGCAGCATATACAAAGTATGTTTGAAAACTTTTTTTTTTTGAGATGGAGTTTTACTCTTGTGACCCAGGCTGGAGTGCAATGGCGTGATTTCAGCTCACGGTAACCTCCGCCTCCTGGATTCAGGCAATTCTCCTGCCTCGGCCTCCTGAGTAGCTGGGATTACAGATGCCCACCACCATCCCCAGCTAATTTTTGTACTTTTAGTAGAAATAGAGTTTCACTATGTTGGCCAGGTGCTCTCAAATTCCTGACCTCAGGTATTCCACCCTCCTCAGCCTCTCAAGTGCTGGGATTACAGGCATGTGCTACCATGTCCAAACACTTCTTACATTTAAAGAGCAACTTGTGACAAGGCATGGTGGCTTACGCCTGTAATCCTAGTACTTTAGGAGGCCAAAGCAGATGGATCACCTGAGGTCAGGAGTTCCAGACCACCCTGGTTAACATGGTGAAACCCTGTCTCTACTAAAAATACAAAAATTAGCTGGGTGTGATGATGCACATCTATAATCCAGCTACTTGGGAGGCCAAGGCAGGATAATCACTTGAACCCAGGAGGCGGAGGTTACAGTAAGCCAAGATCATGCCACTGCACGCCAGCCTGGGCAACAGAATAAGACTCTGTCTCAAATATAATAATAATATAATAAATATAAGAGTAACTTGTTCTAGTTTTATAAATAAAGTAAAAACAGCCATGTCAGGCACAGTGGCTCACTCCTATAATCCCAGCACTTTGGGAAGCTGAGGCAGGCGGATCACCTGAGGTCAGGAGTTCAAGACCAGCCCGGCCAACATGATGAAATCCCATCTCTACTAAAAATACAAAAATTAGCTGGATTGTTCCACTGCACTCCAGTCTGGCAAAAGAGCAAAACTCCGTCTCAAAAAAAAAAACACCATGCCTTGCCACAAGTTGCTCTTTAAATGTAAAAAGTGTTTGGACATGATGGCACATGCCTGTAATCCCAGCACTTTGAGAGGCTGAGGAGGGTGGTGTATGCCTGTAGTCCCAGCTACTTGAGAGACTGAGGCTGGTGAATCACTTGAACCTGGGAGGCAGAGGTTGCAGTGACCTGAGATCACGCCACTGCATTCCAGCTTGGGCAATGGAGCGAGAGTCCCTCTCAAAAAAAAAAAAAAAAAATTTAGCCATTTATTGAAGGACAATCTTTTTTTTTTTTTTTTTTGAGATGGAGTTTCGCTCTTGTTACCCAGGCTAGAGTGCAATGGCGCGATCTTGGCTCACCACAACCTCCGCCTCCTGGGTTCCTGGGTTCCTGGGTTCAGGCAATTCTCCTGCCTCAGCCTCCTGAGTGGCTGGGATTACAGGCACGCGCCACTATGCCCAGCTAATTTTTTGTATTTTTAGTAGAGACGGGGTTTCACCATGTTGATCAGGATGGTCTCGATCTCTTGACCTCATGATCCACCCACTTCGGCCTCCCAAAGTGCTGGGATGAAGGACAATCTTATCTTTGTCCATAAAGTAAACACAAAATATTTTCCGTTTTTGCTCTTTTACTTTGAAAAAGATGCTTACTGTTCTGCCTTCCTTCCTAACACTGTCTACAAGGGTTTTCCAATTACACAAATTAAAGAAAAAGGCTGGGCACAGTTGGCTCACTCCTGTAATCCCAGCACTTTGAGAGGCCAAGGCGGGCGGATCAAGAGGTCATGAGACCATCCTGGCCAAGATGGTGATAGCCCATCTCTATTAAAACATAAAAAATTAGCCAGGCATGGTGACGCACACCTGTAGTCCCAGCTACTCAAGAAGCTGAGGCAGGGCAATCGCTTGAACCCAGGAGGCAGAAGTTGCAGTGAGCCGAGATCGTGCCACTACACTCCAGTCTGGCAACAGAGCAACACTCCATCTCAAAAAAAAAAAAAAAAAAAAAAATGTTTTTTTTAAGCAATAGGGTCTTGCTCTGTAAAGACTGGAATGCAGTGGTGTGATCATAATTCACTCTAACTTTGACCTCCAGGGCTCAGGTAATCCTCCCACTTCAGTCTCCTGAGAGTATAGGACTACAGGTGAGTGCTATCATGCCTGCCTAATTAACAAAAAAATTTTTTAGAGCTGAGTGTCTCACTATGTTGCCCAGGTTGGTCTTGAGCTCCTGGGCTCAAACAATCCTCCTGCCTTGACCTAACAAAATGCTGAGATTAAAGGCATGAGCCACTATGCCCAGCCTCCATTATAAAATTAAAGTATCTGTATTGTGGGGCCGGGTGCGGTGGCTCACGTCTGTAATCCCAGCACTTTGGGAGGCTGAGGCGGGTGGATCATGAGGTCAAGAGGTCGAGACCATCCTGGTCAACATGGTGAAACCCCGTCTCTACTAAAAATACAAAAAATTAGCTGGGCATGGTGGTGCGTGCCTGTAATCCCAGCTACTCAGGAGGTTGAGGCAGGAGAATTGCCTGAACCCAGGAACCCAGGAGGCGGAGGTTGCAGTGAGCCCAGATCGCGCCATTGCACTCCAGCCTGGGTAACAAGAGCAAAACTCCATCTCAAAAAAAAAAAAAATCTTTATTGTAGAAAGCTTAAAACACATATCAGAGAATATGGAAGTAAAATTCAGCTGGATCTCACCAGCTGCTGTGACAGAAGAGATAGCTGCTGTCTTTCTGTATATGTGACTGGTTTGTCTATGTGTTTTATATGTCCACGTATTTGTTAAACAAAGGTAGAATCCAAATGCATTAGGCCTATCTTACAGCACCTGAAATTTTCTTGGCCTTGTATGACCTTGAGACCCTTGGGCACTTTTTCCACCCCAGCCGTCAACTGGGCTGACCAAATACATCTGGGTTATAACCAACTGCCCACAGGCACAACCCCATGGTCCCTTACCTCCTGCTCATACTGAATGCCTACTGCTTCCCATCCTTAGCTTGCCGCTTGCTTTTGAGGTGTAAAGGCCTGTGGGACCCACCTGGTGCCCACACATGTGTAACCCAGGAGTCTGTGGGAATTAATGTGCTATGAAGCAAACCTTTTTCCAATGAGATACAGAAGCTGAGGGGACTGTCCTTCCTTCTTTTAGATGGATTGCCCTGGAATGCAGTTATTTATACATCCTCCTGTGAGACAGCTTTAGGAGATCAGCATCAACTGTACTTGCACCAAGGAGGCCAACTTCAACACGCACCTTCGAATGGACTTAATCCTCCTTCTCCCCTCACTCACCTTTCCCCTACCTCTGCTTGAAAGTGCCCTTCTTGAAAAAATAATAGCACATAAGTTCTTGCCTCAAGTTTTAGGTTCTCTAGGTTCTAGGGTACTGAGATATAGCAGACACTATGAATGCTCTACTAATTATCCCTTCAGCTCTTACCACAGTAGTGCACCCTGGTCTGACTTCCAAATGCCAACATATGCATCTTGTCACCTGAGAGCTTTCTTTGGTATCCAGACTACTTTACACCTGTTTATGGCAAGCTGTAAGCACCAGAGAATTGAACCACCCTGGCAGTAGCCCTCAATTGGTACCTGACAGGAGCTGGTGCTGAAACACCCTAGATTTCTTAGCCATCTGTGGGATACCACCAACCAAGCCATAAGCTTCCCCAGTGGAATTAGGTTGGGTTGCTACCAGTGGCAACAGGCTTGATAACTTGCCCTTTGTTGTCAAGTTTTCCTTTCCTGTCTTTCTTCCCCTCTCCTCTACCCCTGTGTAAAGGAATAATCTCCAAATAAACTACTTGAGAATAAAAAGGAGGGCAGCAAAAGATACCCTTACAATGTAGAAACCTGGGAGCTACCACCTTAATCATTAAATAATAAACTTAATGTCACCAATTGTAGTCATATCATGTGCTTCCTGATGGATGGGCTAAGAAGGTCACACCACTTAGGTAGTATTTCTGCCAATCTAATCATGAGGATAATCAAACAAGTTGAAATCTACAAGGCAACTGGCCTAGACTCTTCAAAAGTATCAGTGTCTCAAAACAAAACAAAACAAAACAAAACAAAACAGAAGCGCTAGCGAACTATTCTATATTAAAAGAGGCTTAAGGCCAGGATTACATGCCTGTAATCCCAGCACTTTGGGAGGCCAAGGCAGGTGGATCATCTGAGCTCAGGAGTTCAAGACCAGCCTAGCCAACATGGTAAAATCCTGTCTCTACTAAAAACAAAAATTAGCTGGGCATGGTGGCACACACCTGTATTCCCAGCAATTTAGGAGGCTGAGACAGGGGAATCACTTGAACCCAGTAGGCAGAGGTGGCAGTGAGCCAAGATCGTGCCACTGCACTCCAGTCTGGGTAACAGGGCAAGACTCCATCTCAATAAATAAATAAATAAAGAGACTTAAGAGACACGACAACTAAATGCACTGTGTGATCTTCGATGACATTTTGGATCAGGGGTAAAGAAAAGCTGTAAAGATTATTATTAGGACAATGGGAGAAATCTGATGATGGAATGAATGTGAGACTGCAGCTGCAACCTCCTGGCCGCAAGTGATCCTCCTGCCTCAGCGCCCCAAGTAGCTTGGACTATAGGCACACACCACCACAGCTGGTTAGTGTGATAATTATATCATGGTTATGTAGGACAGTATATAATGCAGTATTGGAGTAAAGTGTCATGTGTTCTGCAACTTAATCTCAATTCATTCAACTAATAGTGTGTTTTTGTGTGTAGTGTGAGTATAGGGGGAGTAAGAAAAAGGCAAGGAGATAAAGCAAAAGTAACAAATTTATGAACCTAGGTGAAGGATATGCAGACTTCGATTGTAAATTTTTTTTTTTTTTGAGACAGTCTCATTGTGCTGCCCATGCTGGAGTGCAGTGAGACAATCATGACTCACCGTAACCTCAAACTCCTTGGCTCAAGTGATCTTCCCACCTCAGCCTCCTGAGTAGCTGGATTACAGTTGTATACCACCACACACGGCTCATTTTCTTCTGTAGAGACAGGGGTCTCACTATGTTGACCAGGTTGGTCTCAAGCTCCTGGGCTCAAACAATCTTCCTGCCCCAGCCTCCCAAAGCACTGGGATTAGAGATGTGAGTCACTGCACCCAGCCCGTTGTAAAATTTGTCCAAAGGCTTCATATCTTTCAGAATAAAGTGTTAAGAAAGACTATCTGCATAGCCAAGGTTATGGCAGCTACATAAATCCAAATATCCCAACATATCCTCCAAAAACGATACAGACCAACCAACAGGTGGAACAAAAAAAATCACCAACATCGCCTATCTTCAACATACTTAGAAGACTGAAAATACTACAAGCTTCGAATTACCTGGAAGTAGAAAAACATCAATTTCTGGTAGAGATGTTTCTCAACCTCTCGTCCAGCTCTTTAAGAACAGCAAAGAGGGATCCAGATAGGAAGAGAGATGCAAAGAAGAGAGAAGAGAAGAATGGAGAGCCTGAGACAGAACTAAAATATCTCCCTGAAAAAGAAAACTCACGGTATGCAAATGCTGACAAATAATTCTGTTAAACTGGGTGAGGAAGAAAGGGCTGGGGAGAGACACATTTAAACACATGCAGAACTTGATGAGGCAGTCTTGAAAAGGCAAGCTTTCTGGGGAGGAGAAAACAAATGAAAGGGTACCCTCTGTTGGCCAGGCGTGGTGGCTCACACCTGTAATCCCAACACTTTGGGAGCCTGAAGCAGGCAGATCACGAGGTCAAGAAATCAAGACCATCCTGGCCAATATGGTAATACCCTGTCTCTACCAAAAATACAAAAATTAGCTGGGCGTGGTGGTATGCACCTGTAGTCCCAGCTACTTGGGAGGCTAAGGCAAGAGAATCGCTTGAACCATGGAGGCGGAGGTTGCAGTAACCTGAGATCACTCCAGCCTGGTGACAGAGCGAGATTCCATCTCAAAAATAAAAAGAAAAAAAAAGGGTACCCTCTGAAAACTGTGCTGTGAAAGACAAAAAAAAATGTAAAATCCAAAAGACATATAACTATCTCCCCTACTGCCCCAAAAAAGCCTTCTAGTAGAATTAGAAACCATACTTTACTACATCTTCAAAAGAATAGGAACTACTCTGGAACTAGGAATCTCAAAAATCATCCTGAATGATTTATCACTCCTGCTCACAAATACAAACTTAGAAAAAGATTGAAAAGAATCAACGAACCTCAGGATCCTATGGGCTGATATCAAAATGTCTAACGCACATATAATTGAAATCCCAGAAGAAGTGAAAGAGAATTGAACAGAATAAATATTTTTAAAAATAATAGCTTCAGCCCTGGGCACATTGGCTCACATTTGTAATCCCAGCACTTTGGGAGGCTGAGGCAGGCGGATCACCTGAGGTCGGGAGTTCAGAGACCAGCTTGACCTACAAAAATAATAATAACAATAGCTCCAAATTTCCCAAATTGGCTGATAGACATAAATTTGCAGATTTAAGAAGCTCTGCAAATCTCAAGCAGGATGAATACAAATAAAAGGACACCTAGAAACACCACAGGCAAACTGCTAAAAAAACGAGAAAATCTGGCTAATTTTTTTATTTTTTAGCAGAGACAGGGTTTCACCATGTTGGCCAGGCTAGTCTCAAACTCCTGACCTCAGGTGATCTGCCCATCTTGGCCTCCCAAAGTGCTGGAATTTACAGGCTTAAGCCACCACACCTGGCCTAAAAAGATATTTTTAAAATAAGAAGGAAGGTGCACCAAGTTCATCTATTTGAAGACTCAATACAGTTTAGGTATCATTTCGTTCCAAATTGATCCATAGATTCAATGCAATCCCAACCATAATTTTACCAGACTTTTCTGTGGAAACTGGTAAGATAATTCTGATAATTCTAATATTTATATGGAAATGTAGAGGATCTAGAATATTCATATCAATCTTGAAAAACAACAATCACATGACTTCAAGACTTACTAAAAAGCTACAGTAATTAAAAGTGTGGTACTAACATAAAGATTGAACAATGGAACAGAAGGGAGTGCAGAAATCGATCAACATTTGTATAGTCATCTTAATTTCGAAAATGTAATACAACAGCATTTTCAACAAATGGTGCTGGAATGACTGAATATCTATATGAAAAAAATACTATTTAATTATATCTCACACCATTCACATAAACTAGAGATAGATGATAGGTCTAAACATAAAACTTAAACTATAAAACTTACAGGTTGTGCGCAACTGGCTCACTCCTGTAATCCCAGCACTTTGAGAGGCCAAGGTGGGTGGATCATATCAGGAGTTCAAGAGCAGCCTGGCCAACATGGTAAAACCCTGTTTCTACTAAAATTACAAAAATTAGCTGGGCATGGTGGCCCGCGCCTGTAATCCCAGCTACTTGGGAGGCTGAGGCAGGAAAATCACTTGAACCCGGGAGGCAGAGGTTAGAGTGAGCCTAGATCACACTACTGCACTCCAGCCTGGGTAACAGAGCGAGACTCTAACTAAAAAAGAAAAAACTTATAGAAGAAAACATGAAAGATTATCTTCACAGCCTGAAGATAGCCAAGATTTCTTAGACAGAACTCAGAAAGCAATAACTATAAAAGAAAATATAGCCGGACACAGTGGCTCACACCTATAATCCCAGCACTTTGGGAGGCCAAGGTGGGTGGATCAGAAGGTCAAGAGATCGAGACCGTCCTGGTCAATATGGTAAAACCCCATCTCTACTAAAAATAAAAAATAAAAAAATTAGCTGGGCATGGTGGCGCGTGCCTGTAATCCCAGCTACTCAGGAGGCTGAGGCAGGAGAATTGCCTGAACCCAGGAGGCAGAGGTTGCAGTGAGCCAAGATTGCGCCATTGCACTCCAGCCTGGGTAACAAGAGCGAAACTCTGTCTCAAAAAAAATAAAATATAAGAGAAAACTGACATCAAAATGTAAAACTTCTGTTTATCAACTCTAAGAAAATGAATAGGGAACCACAGACAGAGGACAGGTGACCAGGATATAAAGATTATATAAATAACTCCTACAACTCAATAATAAAAAGACACACAACCTGTTAAATACAGTAAGAAGTTCTTCTCCAAAGGTTTAGCTTGTTTAAGCTTCCTTGTTCTTTGTTCCCTTCTTTCAAGGCCAGACTTCCTTACTCTGTGTCTTCCTGCTCTGGTCTCAGTAAACAACTTCTCTGCCAGTCTTTACCTATAGCCATATTCTACTCCTGCCTGCAAATTACCCTTCCTGCATCCTTCAAAGTAGCCAACCGGGACCAGTTTAGATTGTGCGGTCCAATTCCAGACTATGGAGACAGGACACAGTAGTAGAAACCCCTTTGCATTAGGAATAAAAGTCTCTGCTTTCCTTTGTTCAGGGTGGTCTCATGGTGATCTGACCTGTGAGAAGCACCTTCTGGAGAAGTAAACTTGCCTTGCTGAGAAATCTTTTGTTTATTTTCTTTGCAAATCCAAGCTTTATATCCAACACAATCCAATTTAAAATGGGCAAAAGATTTGAGCAGGCAATTCACAGATAAGACATATATTGTCATAAGCAAAGGAAAAAGTGCTCAAAACCATTAGTGATTGAAGACTAAAATTAAGACCAGAATGATACACCACACCCATCAGAGTGACTAAAAAGACTGACAACACCAAACATTGGCAAGACTGTTAAGCAACAGGAACTCTCACACACTATTGGCAGGAAACAGGCTAATAAACCCACACAGCTGTTTACACACACTATTCTTCATGAAAAAGGAAAGCAGACTCCAAGGACTGAGCCACAGGCTCAAGGAGTAGAGCAGCAGAGGCCCAATCCCAGGCCTTGAACCCTATTGGTTTTTGGATGATCTCAGCTCACTGCAACTTCTGCCTCCCAAGTTAAAGCAATTCTCTAGCCTCAGCCTCCCAAGTAACTGGGACTACAGGCAGGTGCCAACATGCCCAGGTAATTTTTGTATTTTTAATAGAGACAGGATTTTACCATGTTGCTCATGCTAGTCTTGAACTCCTATGCTCAAGTGATCTGCCCACTTCGGCCTCCCGAAGTGCTGGGATTACAGGCATGAGCCACTGTGCACAGCCTACTGGTTCTTTATATATCTGGAATATATATAAAGGACCTATTTGTCTTTTGTCAAATAGGTCCCTGTGCTTCCACTGTCATTTTCTTAGAGTAGGCTGTGATTACATTTTGATGTAATAATATTTATCTTTGTTTTTGCTTTTTCGAGTGACTCCATGGCTTCCTGAGCCCTAAGAAAGCTTTGTGCACACTCAGGTCTTAAAGATATTCTTCTCATTTTCTTCTAGAAGCCTTATAGTTTTCTAATTTTGGAAATATGTCTGGGCTGGGCAGGCTGGGTACAGTTGCTCATACCTGTAATCCCAGCACTTTGGGAGGCTGAGGCGGGCAGACTGCATGAGGTGAGGAATTTAAAACCACCCTGGCCAACAAGGTGAAACCCCATCTCTACAAAAAATACAAAAATTAGCTGGGCCTGGTGGCATGTTCCTGTAGTCCTAGCTACTCAGGGGTCTGAGGTGGAGGGCCCGCTTCAGCCCAGGAGATGGAGGCTGCAGTGAGCCAAGATCATGCCACTGCACTCCAGCCTGAGTGGCAGAATGATACTCTGTCTCAAAAAAAGAAAGAAATTATGCCAGGCGTGATGGCTCATGCCTATAATCCCAGCACTCTGGGAGGTCGAAATGGGCAGATCACCTGAGGTTGGGAGTTAAGAGACCAGCCTGACCAACATGGTGAAACCCCATCTCTATCAAAAATACAGAATTAGCCAGGTGTGGTAGTGCATGCCTATAATCCCAGCTACTTGGGAGGCTGAGGCGGGAGAATTGCTCGAACCCAGGAGGCAGAGGTTGTGGTGAGCCACGATCATGCCATTGCACTCTAGAGCATTTGCTCTAACAAGAGCAAAACTTTGTCTCATAAAAAGAAAAGGAAAGGAAGGACAGGACAGGACAGGAAAAGCCACAAGCAGTGGCTCACGCTTGTAATTCCAACACTTAAGGATGCTGAAGTGGAAGGATCGCTTGAGGCTCAGGAGTTCAAGACAAGCCCAGAGAACATGGCTGTATCTACAAGCCTCATCTCTACAAAAAAATAAAACATTAGTCGAGCATGGTGTAGCATGCCTGTAGTCCCAGCTACTCAGGAAGGTGAGGTGAAAGGATCACTTGAGCAGGGGTGAGGAGGCGGCCAAAGCTGCAGTGAACCATGATCACCCCACTGCACTCCAGCCTGGGCAACACAGCAAGACCCTGCCACAAAAAAGAAAGAAAGAAATTAAATAT